GTGAGGAGGGAGGGAGGGAGGGAGGTAGAGAAGGAGGGAGGGAGGTAGAGAGGGAGGGAGGGAGGTAGGGAGAGAAGTAGAGGAGGTGGGAGGAAGGGAGGGAGGAGGATGAGGTAGGAGGGAGGAGAAGGAGGGAGGAGGTAGAGAGGGAGGGAGGGAGGGAATGAGGTAGAGGGAGGAAGGGGAGGTGGGGAGGAGAGAAGGAGGGAGGGAATGAGGTAGAGGAGGGAGGTAGAGAAGGAGGGAGGAGGGAAGGAATGAGGTAGGGAGAGAAGGGAGGGAGGAGAAGGGAGGGAGGAAATAAGGTAGAGGAGGGAGGTAGGGGGAGAGGAGGGAGGGAGGTAGGAGAGAAGGAGGGAGGTAGGGAGAGGAGGTAGGGAGGTAGGGAGGGAGGGAGGAGGTAGGGAGAGAATGAGGGAGGAGGGAGGGAGGGAGGTAGAGAAGGAGGGAAGGAATGGGAGTAGGTAGAAGGAGATAGGGAGAGAAGGAGGGAGGGAGGGAGAGAAGGAAGGGAGGAATGAGGAGAGAGGGGAGGGAGGGAGGGAGGTAGGTAGAAGGAGGGAGGGAGGTAGAGAGGGAGGGAGGGAAGTAGAGGGAGTGGGAGGGAGGGAGGTAGGGAGAGAGGGAGGGGAATGGGGTAGAGGGAGGAGGTAGAGAAGGAGGGAGGGAAGGAATGAGGTAGGTAGAGAAGGAGGTAGGGAGAGAAGGGAGGGAGGGAGAAAGGGAGGGAGGAATGAGGTAGAGAGGGAGGTAGGGAGAGGAGGGAGGGAGGTAGGGAGAGAAGGAGGGAGGGAATGAGGTACAGAGGGAGGGAGGTAGGGAAGGAGGGAGGGAGGGAGGTAGGGAAGGAGGGAGGGAGGGAGGGAGAGAAGGAGGGAGGAATGAGGTACAGAGGGAGGGAGGTAGGGGAAGGAGGGGAGGATGTAGGGAGGAGGGAGGGATGAGGTACAGAGGGGAGGGAGGTAGGGAGAGGAGGGAGGGAGGGAATGAGGTACAGAGGGAGGGAGGGAGGGGCACCATGGATCAATAAGGCAGTACACAGCGTCAGCCAGGCCGTCACCACCTGTTGTCTACGTTACCTGGCACCGTTGTTTATATTAGCACTCTGTTGTATATATTGGCACCCTGTTGTTTATATTGTTCCTGTTGTTTATGTTATTGGCACCCTGTTGTTTATGTTAGTTGGCACCCTGTTGTTTATGTTAGTTGGCACCCTGTTGTTTATGTTAGTTGGCACCCTGTTGTTTATGTTAGTTGGCACCCTGTTGTTTATGTTAGTTGGCACCCTGTTGTTTGTTTGTTGGCACCTGTTGTTTATGTTGTTGTTTGTTGTTTATGTTAGTTGGCACCCTGTTGTTTATGTTAGTTGGCACCCTGTTGTTTATGTTAGTTGGCACCCTGTTGTTTATGTTAGTTGGCACCTGTTGTTTATGTTTGTTGGCACCCTGTTGTTTATGTTAGTTGGCACCCTGTTGTTTATGTTTGTTGGCACCTGTTGTTTATGTTAGTTGGCACCTGTTGTTTATGTTAGTTGGCACCTGTTGTTTATTAGTTGGCACCCTGTTGTTTATGTTTGTTGGCACCCTGTTGTTTATGTTAGTTGGCACCCTGTTGTTTATGTTAGTTGGCACCCCTGTTGTTTATGTTAGTTGGCACCCTGTTGTTTATGTTAGTTGGCACCCTGTTGTTTGATGTTAGTTGGCACCCTGTTGTTTATGTTAGTTGGCACCCTGTTGTTTATGTTAGTTGGCACCCCTGTTGTTTATGTTAGTTGGCACCCTGTTGTTTATGCTAGTTGGCACCTGTTGTTTATGTTAGTTGGCACCCTGTTGTTTATGTTAGTTGGCATCCCTGTTGTTTATGTTAGTTGGCACCCGTGTTGTTTGTTAGTTGGCACCTGTTGTTTATGTTAGTTGGCACCTTCCTGTTTTTTGTTGTTGGACCCTTGTGTTGGTTGTTTATGTTTGTTGGCACCTGTTGTTTATGTTAGTTGGCACCCTGTTGTTTATGTTAATTGGCACCTGTTGTTTATGTTAGTGGCACCCCTGTTGTTTATGTTGTTGGCACCTGTTGTTTATGCTAGTTGGCACCCTGTTGTTTATGTTAGTTGGCACCTGTTGTTTATGTTAGTTGGCACCCTTGTTGTTTATGTTAGTTGGCACCCCTGTTGTTTATGTTAGTTGGCACCTGTTTGTTTATATTTGTTGGCACCCCTGTTGTTTATGTTAATCTACAATCTGTTGTTGACTCAAATTGGAAAGAGAGAGGGAGAGGGGAGGAAGGGAGAGGCAAGGAGAGAGGGAGGAAGACAGATGGGGAGAGGGGAGTAATTAGAGAGGAAGAGAGGGAAGATGGGGAGAGAGGAAGCATAAAGTAATTACCACACACACACACACACACACACACACACACACACACACACACACACACACACACACACACACACAGAATATGAGAGAAAAAATATTATATTTAAAAGTGCATAAATAAACATATGAAAGGAGAGATATAGGGGAGGGCAGTGGTAAAGGGAGCACTACAAGTGAGAGGGATGGAGAGGGAGGGAGGGGGGAGGACTGGTGTGGTGGAGGCAGTGGTAAGCGTTTTTGACGGGTTAGGTTAATGTTAGGTTAGGGTAAGGTAGCGTTTGCTTAGATTAATTAAATGTTAGGATAGTTAATCTTAATATTAATCTAGGTTAATTAGAATAGGTTAGGTTAGGTTAATTTCACGTTACGGGGAGTTAATCTTTAGGCGAAATAAACTGAAGGGCTATTGTTGAGGTGCTGATGGGTGATGTGTGTGTGTGTGTGTGTGTGTGTGTGTGTCTCTGTTTCTTTACGGTCAATCTGCGTCATATTGGAAAAGGGTTTAGCAATCGTACACTGTGGTCCACTGTGGTACACTATGCTCCTCTGTGGTACACTATGGTCCACTGTGGTACACTGTGATACACTAGGATCCACTGTGGTACACCACAGTCACTGTGGTACACTTTGGTCCACTATGATACACTACGGACCACTGTGGATACCATGACCCACTGTGATACCTCAATACATCACAGTTCACTGCGGTACACTCCGGGCCTTTCCGGTTCACTGCGATACGACAGTCCTGGCCCGGAAGAGATTGATTGTTCAAGATACCTCAACCAGGTGAGGTAATTTCACGGTGAGAGGACGGGCGGCAGAGATGGAGAGATGGAACAAAGAGAGAAAAGAAAGAGGAGAGATAGTGAGTGAATAAGAGAGAGAGAGAGAGAGAGAGAGAGAGAGAGAGAGAGCACTGTGCACCTGTTATAATCAATACTCATTTGCACACATGAATATTCAGAGCAGGTAACCTCCCCTCCAGGTAAAGTGTTAAATAGATAAACAGATGCGTAAATTGACCTCTGTTTTTACCACAGCGTCAGTAACAATAACAACAACACATGATAACGGTAATAGTGGTAATAACAAGTGATGATAATAACAACAATAATAAAATAATAATCATACTGCAATAATAATAATAATAATAATAATAATAATAATAATAATAATAACAATAATACTGCAATAATAATAATAATAATAATAATAATGATGATAATAAAAATAATAATAATCATAGTGCAATAATAATAAATAATAATAATAATTAGTAACCGCCATTCAGGCGGTTAAAGGATTTATTGAAACTTGTGACGTTGGACTCAAACATTATAATTTGGTCAAACCTGTTGAATACATTTCATTTTAGTATTTCACATAAGTCATACATAGGCAATCACATAAATGTTTAATCCAATACAGTATATATATTTACATAACAATCATAGCTATGTAATTAGTTTAATCTTAACACTTACAAAGAGTACTTAAGTTTCCATATTTTTATGTTGTCACAATGATAAACGATGCAATGGACACAGTCTACCTGTGTACACAATAAATACAAGTTAAACTTACGTGTTGAAAGTCTTCAGGAGAAACAGGTTAGGTGTTGGTGGTGTGATGGGGATAGCTAAAGTGAAGCTGGGCACCATATAATCAAGTTGGCCACTTCAAACTCGCTGTGTCAGGCGTATTATACGCAAACAAGCTCACCTCCCAACACCTCAACCTACTCTAGGTCTCTCATCTGCCTCCATCTCAACACTATATACTGTATACAGGCGGGCAGGCACGCCCAATAAACATGACATGAGTTACAGCCTAACATAACGTTTGTTTATGCGTCATCATAATTATGTACCGCTTGCGGTAACAATAATAATAACAGATATAGGTGAACGATACCACATAGCTTATCAAATCCCCCTAACCTAACCTAACCTAATCATACTGTCAAGGTATATGATTAATTTAGGGAAGGTTATGTGGGGTCTATAAGAGCTAGGAACTGTCTCTCTGCATCCCCCTAACATGGCCCTCTGGCATTATCACCCAGCGTCAGAGTCAGAGTGGCCAAATTTTTCCTTCCGTGTGTGTGTGTGTGTGTGTGTGTGTATTAAATTTCTTTCTCTCACATTAACGCTTCATTTGGTTCGGAATTCTCTATCCCATTGAAAGATACGAACACGTTATGGTGTATAGACTCCGTGTACAGTATATTGCCACGCCATCTTTGTGTAGTAGCTTAAACAGATGTATTTCCTCTTTGTGCTTATTCATCTTTATTACTCATTTCTCTTTCCCACCTTTCACCCCCTTCTGGCTATTCACAGACACATTCATGGCGTCTTTTGCCCAACTTCTAATTTATTTATTTATTTTTTACATTTCTTTGTAACCTCTCTTTCTCCTTGCTCTCCTCTCTCTCTCTCTCTCTCTCTCTCTCTCTCTCTCTCTCTCTCTCTCTCTCTATCATTTTAATCACATCTGCTTCCTCTGCATTTATTTTCTCCTCATTCATGCTCGGTTTACTGCATCGTTATTTTTCTCATATATTTTTTACTTATGAGGGAGAGATAAGAAAACACATCACACACATCTACCCTGATCTTCCTGCAGGTGGGGAGGTGGCGGAGGTGTGTTCAGAAGAAGAGCTGAGCTTCGCGTGTGACGGCGGCAGCCAGGGAAGACAAGAGTTGGTTATCAAGGAGGCTTGGCTTTACGGCGCCGCTTATATGACGAAGGAGGACCTTGGGCAGGGAGAGCAGTGCCACGTTCAGAGCTACAACTTACAGTACAAGAAGGGATCGTTCCTGCAGTACATCAACAAAAAGTGAGTACATTGAAGTGACAGGTCTAGCACATGTAATAAAAAGTTTAGTACATGAAGAGTGCTGTTTTAGTCCAATTCAACATAAAGTACAAGAAGGGGTCTTTCTGAAGTATATCTTCAGTACAAGTAAGGAACACTTGTACCGTATAAGATGGGTCTAATTTTTTTTTTTTTTACGGGGATTAGCCCACCCGGGCACAGGTCACTGACCCACATCAGGGCCCGGGGGGCGAAAATGTAATAATAATAATAATTCATAGTAAATAAAATTTAAAATAAAAAATAAAATAAAATATTAATGGTAATAATAACAACACTGTGATAATAATAAATACAAAGAAATGCAAGAATGAAAAAAACCCAGCGAGAAACGCTCTATGTATGTTGTTTTGTCATGTAATAGAAACAATTGAAACCCGACAATTGTGTGTAAATGAGGCAGAAAGTCAGATGAGCAACCTGGGACTTGGTCACAATTTTCGTGATGTCATATGGTAGCAGGGTCTACCATTAGACAACACATTATGCTTCCAATATCTTCCCAGGCGGTAGTACCTCCCTGTTCGGTAGCTGCCTACTACCTCAGAAGTACAGACACAATACAATATACAAAGTCCTCTCTTCCAGTAGTTTAAAACGTTTTGAGTATTAATAGAGTACAGTCCAGTGAGATTTGGACGGGAAGAATTTATTCGGTGGGAAACAGTCTCATATTACAGTATATATGTCCTGTGAGAAAGTATTCGGTAGGATTCCCAGCGTTAGAAAAGTGTCAGGCGTTTTTCCGTCTTGTTTTCCTTGCAGTGCATTGCAGCATTACCAGCACCACTAGACTTATAGTTCCCAAGCGCCATGCGTCACCCCTTCCCACCCATGACGCAGCAATAAAAACTGACACACACACAAACACACACACACACACACACACACTGCAGGGGCGGACCCAGGAATATCAAAAGGGGAGTCCAAGAAGTTGTGGGTGGGGGACCATGGCGAGCACAGCAAGCCCACCAATATCATGGGCATTTCGAGGCCATTTTGAAGCCATGTGCACTTGATATTAGGAGATATTCTGAAGTCAATTGTAATCATATTTTACCATACAAAAGCGCTTGAGTACAAAACTGCATTAAAAAAAATATTGGAATTTTCTGACGAGAAGGGGGATCCGGACTCCAGGACACCCCCCCGATCCGCCTCTGTATGCTGTCGCCGCATACAATAACAGACAGCATAACAACCAGCTGGCCACGACACCAGTATGGGAAAATGAGCCTTTAATGCATAGTTTAATCTGTTGTTGGTTCTCGAGTACACGCATTGCGTAGTCTAATGGTACACTGTTTTACTAGGGAAAGAAGCCTTAAATTAGGGCGAGTTATCATTGTGACACCCCAAAGGAAGACATTCTTGGGGTTTTGGGCGGGCCTTTGGTTTAGACTCGAAGTTTGAATCACGATATATTTCTTTTGTCATTCGAACTTTATTTGACATAGTGTATACCTAGTATTTAAACAATTAAAAATATATTCTCACCAAGAAGCGTGAGAGGTAATAAGATAAATTGCGAGTTTTTATGAAAGGAGAGAGGGCGCGCGTTTAGTGGGAGGAGGGATGTGTGTTGAGGGGTCGTATGGTCCACAATGGTGCAGGTGGCCCGTGAACGCTGGCCTTTATAGCTCTATTATCCCCCGCTCCCCAGACCAAAAACGATTATCCCAGTTTGTCGGTTTATGTCTCCTTGTCCTCCTCTTCCCCTCACCCTGCCTGCTGGCTAATATTGCCTGTCATTGTCGACGAAATAATCTGACTTCTCTCCGCGGCTCAAGTTAGACATGGTAACTCGACAATTTTCGCGCGTGAAGGGAAAAATCATAAAAGTCAGCTGGTGTCGGTTTTGGTAACATCGTTTGGGGGACGGGGATCGTAAATATTGTTGACGTTCATTGTATGGTAGCTGGTTATTGCGACACATTTGCCGAGCGTTGCCATGTTATTAGGTTATTTTGGCGCACAAATTCCCCAGTTGATTGGAGTTTTGCTACCTGAATTTGACCGTATGGTTCGGTATATATTTTTGTTTTATGGTTAAGGAATTTGGCGATGTGATTTAATTTTTAGAGTATGTGACACAGGTGAATGAACCTGATTTTTGTATTAGTGAATTTCAATATTCTCCTTTTTTCTTTTTCTTTTTACGATATGCGAATTTTACGATTATGTTGGTTTCCTTTACAAAAACGGTACGATTATATGACTTCTGACAAAATTAAACAATGTAATTGTTGGCAACTGTAATTAGGATTCTTTAAAAAAAACTGATGGGCCCTTCAACTACGATGCAATAAAATCGGAAATATCATTCATTCAATTTCATCTGATTAGAAAACGTAAAGGATATTTGGTGAATGTTTGTACGATCAAGCACATATACATATATTCACACATGTGTACCTACAGTACATGTACAGTCGGGGTCAAAAGTCTTGAACACTTGACAGTATCTGGCATGTAAGTACCCGAAGATCTTAGGTATTAAGGAGAATTTTATCCCATTTTGTGGTTCAGGTATAATATGTGATGACAAGTAGTGTTATTAGTATATCCCAATCAAATATGTATAACTCAGAAGTAGATGCCAGATATTGCTAAGTGTTCAAGACTTTTGACCCCGACTGTACACATACAGTACATAGATACCAATATTTTACAATCACGAAGGCTTAGACAAACCATTTCTAGCTTTTATTGTTTATATGAATCGTTTATATATGTAGGTCTAGGTGAATCTTATTGTCACAAACCTACACGAATATTTTAGGCAGTTTGGCCAAGGATAACCGACACAACTTATTTCCAGTAAGGGACACTTTAGTTTAAATGTCTACAGCTTCTGTTCCCTAGCATCCACCCCTCCAAGTACTAACCAGACCCAACGTCACAGGTACACACGAATCATTTACTATCACAAGCTTATGCTAATAATACAATAAATTATAGATTTATGGGTCGCATATGATTATGGTCCTGGACCTCAATAATTTCCATTCCAAGTTGTTTCTCATCGTATTCAATAAGTAGAATCTTCCCTATTAGTGTCACAAAGGCCTTTTACATTGAGTTTGACGTCAAACTCCCTACTAACTGTGAACCTAGGCCTAACAAGTCAACATACGAGTCGAGTACCTTGTTAGAGCAGTAAGCGCCTCAAGTCACATAAGCCTATAAGTGTCGACTTACACAATCCCACCACAGTCAACCCTGTGGGCGCCCTATTGAGTGACCAGCGTCCATAACACCACCCTAGGCCTATAGAAATCCGCGCACAGAGAGGACGAATGCAATAAATCTATGGAGATGGTCGCGCACCATTCAGCGGGTCATCACAAACAATGTGCGCTTTATTGTGATTTGAGTTGCCCCAGCCATTCATTGAGAAGGAAAACGGCTTCACTCAAGTGCTCTCTCAGCACGGGTAAACTACTTCATCTTGGCTAACTTGTTCCATTCTACAGTATTGCTGTGCGTAAAGGGGTGTTTCTTCGTTGTTTAAACATATTATTGTTAAGTGGCATTTCCTCATAAGACGCTTTAGCCAGGTAGAGAGGCCTGCCAATACGTTATATTCCTCATTTAATTTTAATTAAAATGGCTTTAAACAAACGGCCTTATTCATTTATTTAATTATTATTTCTTCAAGAAATGGATCCATTCAAGAGCTCCCTTTGTGGACATTTTTACATAATGACCATAAATACCATAATCGGCGATAAGGTCCGTATCTCACCATTTTGTCCTGTACTAACACTGGAAAATGAAGATCATGATAAATTAAAGGAACGACAATTACACTGATATGTGGTAATTTACATGTGAAACTTATTGACTTAACATTATGGGGATACAAACGTAATCATTATCTTGCAAAATCCGATACATTTTTAGCTGCCTTAAGTTTTAATTCGCCTTTCCTGACCTAACTGATGAATGTTTTCCGAGTGAGGAATTATTATATTTACCACGGCACAACCCAATAATCAATACTTGTGACGTGACGTGAAATTAGTATCATAAACTTTACTAAACCAATTTACCTGAACCCATAATTTAAAATATTAAATTAATCTAATATTCTTATTATGCCAAATCGATGGTGAATTTTAAGGAAATAGAGGGTTTAATAAATACGTGATGCAGGATATAGAATGGCAAGGAAAACAATGATCAGATTCTAGAAAATTCTTACGCTATTTATTTTCCTCTTGTTCGCTGGATAAGACATTACGATAGTCAGGGTGCAGTTTTGACGCCTCATTTAGCAGCCTTTTTTTTTTACTTTCTCAGCAATACAATAATTTGGGTCTTTAGTATTATTATTATTATTATTATAAGGAGGGGTCCGACTAATTACCCAAATGAACCCAAATGTAGCCGCAATGAAGTCAAATGATGGTCCTACAAGCGTAAATCGGGCTGTGAATCACTTCTCGATTAGTATTTGGTGTCATAAAGTCACAAAAAATTGGAAAACTTAATTTAATCTGAGTTCATAGATCGAGTGCATGTACCTAACCTAACTCAACTCAGATTAAATTAAGTTTACCAATTTTTTGTGACTTTATGACACCAAATACTAATCGAGAAGTGATTCACAGCCCGATTTACGCTTGTATGACCATCATTTGACTTCATTGTGGCTACATTTGGGTAATTAGTCGGACCGCATAAATTAAAAAAGGAGTATAGGGAAGTCCCTATATTCCTTGATAAGCTACTGTCATCCGTTTGGTCCCAGAAATCTGTTTATGTTTTGTTTTTAATGCTAGAGACTGTTAGTTAATTAATGGAAAATATCCAAGAGGGCCACCAGACTGGTATCCAGGAAGAATATTATGCCTGCAGTTGCCAAGCTTATACCAAGCTATAGGCGGGCAAGGGGTGTCTTATTAGAACCTGCAACAGTCTCGGGTTAAAGAAGCAACACGTTCAGAAAATTGCCA